AAACAAATCTCTTAATTTTTTAATATATTTGAGCTTCAAATTTGGGTCTTCAATCTTACTGATTAAGTCAATAAGAATATGTTCTTCCTCATTCTGTTTGGTGATTACCCTAACAGTTTTACAGAGGCAGCTATCTTTGCAACCTAATTTGACTTTAGGTTCACTAGGGTTGCTAGATGCTGAATGATATTTTGAAGAACTTTCAGAGCTGCTTGAGTCATCTAAACTCTTTTCATTACTGGGAAGATTATTTAACCTAAAAATGTTGAGAATTTTCTCTTTATCTTCTTGGGTTAAATTTAATCTTTTAACTGGGCAGTCTGGGCTTTTATGGCCTTTTTTACCACAGTTATAGCATTTAATGTCTGAATTTGTTTTAGCTTTTTTCCCAGATTTTTTCTTATAAGTTTTATTCTTATAAGTTTTTCTGGGTTTTTTGCTAGATTCAGCATAGTAAGTAGGTTTACTAAAAGTCTTTTTACTACGTTTGTAGTGGCTTTTAGATTTACTATAAGGCTTTTGTGATTTGGTGTTTCTGCGTGATGGTGCTACTGATGGAAAATCATATTGTTCACAGAAATTATTTATTTCATATTTAGCATTTTTCTTATCATTTTTTAATTGATGTTGGATCTTCATGTCAATACACATCTTAAGACCTTCATTTTGGATGATACTAACAAGATCATCGTAGGTCAATAAATCATATTCAATGATTCCACTGTCTTTACTAAGTGCTTCCCTAATCTTATAGGCAAAGAGATTAGGTAGGTCATTGACAAATTTTCTTTCCAGAAAGATTTATCACAGTCTGGCCTAAGCATAACTCTAGAGATGAATACATCTTTGTACCATCTGAAATCACTAAGTGTTGGGCACCTAAGGTTATTAAGCTGGTCATGGACTCTAGCTTCTATGTTACTGGGTGTGCCAACAAAATGTTTGATTATGGTGAAGATAAGGGTGTTAATTCCATCATCTTTAGCTCGATCAATTCTTTCATTAAAAACTGGTATGCCTTCATCATCAAGAACAACAGCATGTTTGATGCCATCTCTTGATTCTTGTGTGAGGTAATTAGTCCACCAATTACTTAATACTCCTGTAAAATCAGAGGTGATCATGTCAACTAGTTTTGGTTCTGAGAGATCAAGATTTGAAATGTAACTTGGCTACCATGGAAAGGTGACTAATTTTGTTAAGTATTTCCTGTTCACTTAATCCATCTATATTTCATTCATAGAGTTTATTAGATTAAACAGAAAACTGATTACTAATGTTTTTTTCTTCAAATTGAAGATCTGGTGGTATTGGTCTAGTATACCAATTTTTTGTACTGCTGGTTGGATTAACTTTTGAAAAAGTTAATTTGTTAAGTTTGAGGTTATCAAACTATTCTTCTAATTTTTCAATTTCAGAATCAGGCGAGCTTTCTGAGCTACTAGTTTCTGAATTATCAGAAATCTGGTTGATAACTGTTACTTGAGATGGTCCAGATTTTGATTCTGTTTTAGAGATAAGTTCTTCAATCTTTTGGATTGTTTGTTTATTTTTTAAACCTAATCCGGATCTATCTTCAGGTAGATGAATTAGAGGTTTCTCTAACTTTTTATTGGATGGCTTGATTTCATTGATTTTAGATTCAATTTTATCAAGTTGTTTCCCAATAATTATTACACTTTGGTTAGTGAAATTATTTTGTTCAATCATCTTTGTGTCAGATTCATTAGTAGGTTTCTTAAAAGGAGAAGCCTTTACTTCTGAATGTCGATGATCAATTAAAATAATTTCTGCTGGAGGATGACTAGATGTTTTTATAGAATTATCTAGTGTTTTCCATATATGTTTTGTTACTACTTTTACTTCTGGATGATGGGATTCTAGGTAGTCAAAGAATATAATTTCTGATTCTATTTTATACATTACTTTTACGTATTGTGCCATCATTCCTTTATGTTGAATATTAGTGAATCTCTTAAAGTATTTCTGTCTTTTAGATTCATTTTCAACAGAATTAAAGTCTTTTTTTAGTTTAATCATGTTAGGTAAGAATAATCCATTTTCTTTCCTAATCACGAGTAACTGGTGATCTACCGGAGTAGTGCTCTGGAGGTCACTGGCTGTAGGTGAAGGGGTGAAGTCATCTTCTTCTTCTTTATTCCTACGACTAGATTGTGGAACACTCTGATGTGGAGTGTAGCACGGTCTACTAATTTGTAATGTGGAATTATCGATTCCTTTTAACTTAAATTTTCTTTCTATTTCTTCTGTTAATTCTTTATCTCTTTTGGAGATGCTAGAATAAACATCAGATTTTCTTCCTTCAATAATCTGAATAGGTTTATTAAATGATCTGCTTGATCTATTGGATCTTGCAAAATCAAAGGAGATTCTTACTAATCCATCAGATAACTGTTGGATGTTTTCTACGTTAGTGGCATTATTTTCACTATCCTTGTTATAATTTTCATTTTCAACTGTCCAAGATTCTGGAAGTTGAACATTCTTCCATTCAAGTCTTTTGGGGACTTGGATGTTAGAATCACTAGTACTGGCTTGGATGAGCTCTATTTTATCTTTAGGATGTTTTTTAAGTGCATGTACATTCAGGTTTGTAGTTATGCATTTATAGTATATCCTATAGATAAGTACTAGGGATTGAGTCTCTTTTACCAGTTTGGTAATTTGACCTGACAATTTTATACCTAAGGTTAAAGCCAAAGGTGTATTTTTGCAACTAAGGCTAAGGGTAAAGTCTGAAAAGCAGTTAAAATAAACTAGTCCGTTATGAAGACCAGTCTCCATTATTCCTAAAATGCTAGGTTCATATTCTATGAATCTGGCATCTTTTAGGGTTAAAAGAGCTGCTGCATCTTTACCTAATGACATTAATGGTTTAATTGCTACTTGAACTAAACCAAGGTGAATAAAGTTAAAACCTTTTTCCTTATGTTTTCGTAGGGTTTTTTTACTAATTAATTGACAAGTTTTTTCCTCTTCACTGAGAGCATAAACTTGTTCAATTGTTTTTACTTGAAGTTCTGAGTTGAATGCTTTTGGAACCCAACTCGTTTTATAGATATTTCAATGGGATACCTTTGGGATATTCCATCACTCCAATCTACTTGTGACTCTTGGTGTTCTTCTTCTTCCTCATTTACTATATTAGGTATAGTACTAAATGAAGAACTAAATGAGCTAACCATAGAGTTAAATCTGAATAATCTACTCACTATTAAATCTAATTTTTCAATTATGTAAATCAATGTTTAAGTTTGATTCTATTGTACATACCCCTAACATACATGCTCTCATGATATGTCTCTGTTTCCCTAAACTGCCTACACTCGAGGACTTACAAACGGGACAAGAATGAGACTCTCCCTCTTGAGCTGACAAAGGCTAGGTGACAAGGGTAGACCAAACTAAACAATGATTTATTAAATTAAAATAGAAGAGATTTAACACAAGTAAGATAATTCCAAATGTAACTGTATGGGCAACTATCTAGGCCGTCAAATGGCTCTGATACCAAATAATAAAAACAAGTGCGGAATAGTAACAGACATGATTTAGAAGAATCACAAACTGTAGATATAAGAGTGGAAATTTAAAAATTCTTTAAATCTTGTTTATAGGAACAAGATACAAATTACAATAAAAAATAAATACTTACAACACTAGCGCTGGTGGGCTAGTGGATGTAATGGGATAGGAGTGAGAGGCTTTTCATTTACATTATTATGAAGGTTTCTTACCATTTGGGGATAGTGTATAGGAATAATGAGCTTTATGTATGTATGTATGTATATACTTGTTGTTAAATCTCTTATCTAAATTTTGAATTATTTTTTAATGCACCTTAATTTATGCATTTTTTTTTAGAAAGTGGTTTTATTTTTAAATTAATTAAATATCCGAACAGTGTAATAATGTAACAATAAAAGTGTAACACTAACAATGTAACATTATAACAATAATAGTGTAATAAGCTATTTACACAAAAATATTATACTATTACATTTTGTCAAACATATAATTTCATTCAAAATAGTCTATCTTCGTTTTGAATTTGTTACCATATATACAAAACTACTGAACAGTGTTTTTGTTACAGTGTATTTGTTACACTGTCTTTGTTACACTGTTATTATTATACAATTACATTATTTGGATATTAAATTAATTTAAAAATAAAACTATTTTTCAAAAAAAAAACCCTTGAATCAAGGTGCATTAAATATAATTTTAAAATAAAATCACTTTTCAAAAAAAAAAACGCATGAATCAAGGTGCATTAAAGATAATTCAAAATTTAAATAAGAGATTTAACAACAAATATATATATATATTATATATATATGTGTGTGTGTGTGTGTATAAATAAGTATATATATTTTTGTATATATATATATATATATATATATATATTAATAAATACATATGAATCAAAGTACATTAAATACGTATTTATATGTATTAACAAACACACATGAATCTAAGTGCATTAAAAATAAGAGATTTTTAATTAAATGATCCTAAAATTGACATTTATTTTTTTTAACTCACATTTTATTTTATGTACTTTTTGTCAAATAAATTTAATTAGGTGTACCGACTTTCAAATAACCCATATTAGCCCATTAGAAATCGGCCCAATGGATAATCTACAAATCGGCCCAATGGATAATCTACAAAAGTTCCGTTATGACAGATCTAACAAACATGCTTGGGCTATATCTTTTTGGGGATACGAGCCAGGCCAGAACTGGACCGTGATCCAACCCTATGTATCTGTCGTCGGGCCGTGTAAGCCTGTCTCCATCCATTGCTGACTCCATAGGCGTCCTTATTCAAACATCTCTCTTCGAAAAAACCAAAATAAGGAATTTATAATTTATAATATAAAATAAATAAAATTTAATAAATTTATTTAGCGGAAATAAATTCAACCATCACTAGCCTCCCTCCTAAAAACAATCACATTTAACACAAATTACCAAGAATCATATGGTACTCATGGCCTCGCTACAACGCAAGAATCATATGCGCTCCGCTTAATTCTTTTCTGTGTCTCTCTCTCGATGTTCAAGCTTTCAACACTCTCCCTCCAAGAACCTCTCTCTTTGAGCCGAGCTCTACATTTTCCCGCGCGTTTTACCTCGTCGTCACTGTTCGACCGCGGTGTTTCTCGCCGAATTCCGATTCAGAGTATGTCGTGCTCGATTGAAACTGCGCTTCCTCCTTCGCTGCGAACGGTTTTCATTTCGTATACGCAACTTCAGGTGAGTTTCTCCAATGGTCCGTTTGGTGGCTGAGAAATTAGGAGTTTTCGTGCGCAGAAACTCGAAGTGTGTCGTTTGATTTTCTCACGGGTTTTCAGTGACAGTATGACTCAGTTGCTTCGTGTTTAACTGTCCGTGTGGTGATCACGGCGTGTTCTCTGTGTATGTGTGTGTGTGCGCGCGCGCCCGCGCGATCCATGTACGTTTGACGCTTGAATTTATATAGCTGCTTTCCTACATATGCTTTAGAAATTTGAATGATGAACTCCGTTTGTAGGTGTTGTGCGCATGTTAGTGTGTGTACGTGGATGTGTGTTATTGTGGACTTTTAGATTCGTTGCTTGAATTGTTGAACTCTTTTTATATCATTATGCGTTTTCAATCGAATATTTTGAATGAGTGAGTGAGTATGTGAATTTTGACATTTCGAGCTTGAATACCTCTCTTCCTCTGTGTTTGCGTGTGTGAGAGAGACTTTTGACATTTGAAGCTGGTATCATAATTTTTGATATTTGGACCTTTTCTTTTATGGATTCGTGCATTCTAAATTTCGTTTATAACCTCTCTGTATGTTTTTTTTTCCCTTCACTTTTGGAGCTTGAAATGTAGAATTATACTTATATATCCTTGTATTTTCAGTTTGAATGATGACCTCTATGTATATATCCGTCTTTTTTATGTGATACTGCTCTTGCTTGTGTCTATGATACTGACGTTTGGCTTTGGTGGAATTGATTGAAGGATAAGAGTGCTGATTTGTCAGCAGAAATTGAAGAAGGTTTTGGGCCAAATGGTTTGGGTATCCTGTCAGTATCAGATGTATGAAACAAATCTATTTATCAATTATATGTTTAATTGTCATCATGCTAGTTTTTATTTATCTTTTGATTTCATTGTTGGTCAAATATGTTTTCCACGTACTAGTATAATGACAATTATAGCTGTTCTCCATAAGAGGTCCGGTCCATGATTTTTTATTTTGTTTTTTTGAAAAAATGGGCAGCCTGTTAGAATGCATATTGTATGGTGCCTGTTTGATGCATTTCTATGCAAGCTTTCTTTTCAGGAAAGAAAAAAAAGTGAATGCGGAGATGAGCTTGACCTGTGTATTTATGAAAAAAGAAGAAATGCAATTGAATAAGAGAAAAAAATAAACAAAGAGATTGGGAAAATGTGTGCTAGAAAAAAAAAAAAGAACGAGTTAGATAATTGGAAAGCAAATATTCAACATCCAATTAGGTGGACTCCTGTTAACCCAAACTTGAGCAACATCAGGGTTTTTTTGGGACATTGGGACCTGTGTTGGACAGTTAAGGTATCATAACCATTATTGTGTCCTTTATATCAAGTTAGCAAAGTGATTTTCTGCGGATTTCAGGCAATTTACCCCAGATTGTGGCTCTTGATTCTTGTTTGGGTAACTGTATTGGAGTTTTAGATCAACTTATTAGCTATCAATATTATGGACAATGGTGCTTATAAGCTGCTTTGTAATTTCTAGTGTTTTGTTTTTTCCACGTCTCATTGCTGACAAAGTACTAGCTGAATTACATCTTGTGTTCTCATTGGTCATGATGACAGTTTTGGACTATCAGCAATATTCATGTTTGGATAATAGGATCTGCAATATCCATGGGATTGCACTGTGGGTTCATCTTTCCATCAGAAATGTCACAAAGCATATCTTTTTTAGTTTTCCCATTTTCTTTTTATACACTTAAAGCTAGACTTTTATTTTACTTTTATTATACTGCAACTAATATTTGCTTTAACTTCTACGCCATAGTAGCTGGTAACCTTCATTTAATTTTAATTAGTTAATAGTGTCCTCTTGTTTTCCTACTTGAGATGGACTTTTGGATTATTATAGGTTCCTGGGTATTCTACACTGCGTCGAAATCTTCTGCAACTTTCACCTAGGTATAAGCTTCGCAGAGATATTTGCGTTTTTATTTTGAATGCACGTAGATTTAGAGAGATAAGGAGAAAGTGCTTTTATTACACTCCTTGTTACTAGCTATTTGTCTTCAATCAGATTAGCCGGCCTTCCTGAAGGAGTGAAGAAGGAACTAGAAGACCCTCATAGCAGGTAATGTAGCTGACCCTGAACTTACTACTTCTCACTGATACATGGTAAATGAATATTTTAATGTTATCATTAGCATTTGGAAACAATGATCCCCATCCTTCTGCAATTTTTCAAAAGCTCAGTGCAAGTTTATAAACCCTGCGGTTTCTGGGAGTATTTCCCCTCCTATACTATGATTAATGGAGATATATTATTACTTTTGGGACAAAATGTAGGTACAATTTTGGGTGGAGTCATGGCAAAGAGAAACTTGAATCTGGAAAACCAGGTAAATATTGTCCCACGGCATAGTTTGTGGATTCCCTGATCAATATATGATTTAACAAAAGGTAGTTGTCAACTTCTTGTACGCACCTGAATGCATGTTAGATGGTCCATTAGGATATAAGAAATCTAAATGAGATTTTGGAGCTATGGTGGATATAGGGGTGCATATGAGTATGTGTATGTTTGTGTTGGTTTAGTTAATTCTACAATTATATCTCATGTTTCTCTGCCTGTTGAGTACTGTTTGACTGTCCTTGTGCAGATATGTTGAAAGGATCCTTCTATGCAAATCCAATATTAGATGTACCTACGACTGAGGCGTCCCTTATTCAACAGTAAGAAGATCTATGGATATCTATATTTTGGATTTATCCTAGATGTTTCAGTTTTAAGGTATTGCAAACCTATTGGATGTGGCCAGGCAATCTGTTTGCTAAGGATTATGGGACTTTACCGTTAAATATCCTTTCTAAGTTCTGGATTTCTTTCATATGATAATTAGCTATGACAATGCACCTGTTAAACATTCCACCAATCAACTCCAAAATATGCTTTTTCGGATTTTGAGAAAGTAGACAGAGCTTCACTTAAACCTATTTGCACTTTCAGAGCTGGTATACCCAATCATAGTTATAGGAACTGTTGAACTTTTCTGATGGTGCTTTGTCTTTGAAGGTACCCTTCGTACTGTGGACAAAATATATGGCCTCATAGTGCTTTGCCCGAACTTGAAGTGGGTATGTTCACATATTTCTTATTTTATTCATTTTGTATTTTTTCTATGGATGCCATTGCTTTATTTAATTGTTTCCATGTATGATGTTTGCTTCATGCTTTGTCGTTGTAGTATAGTGGTGAATATATATATATATATATATATATATATATATATTTGCAGCTTCTCTGGAATTTTTGAACAGAAGTCTTGCAAGCTCTGGTATTGATTAGTGACCGTACAAGTCAAGCTTTAGACGTGATTTCTTAAGTGTCTGTGATGATGAAAATACAACCATTTGGCATATTGAAATTTTAGATGTTCCCATCATTATTTGAGAATCTGCCGGCCGATTGTTCCTTTTGAAAGTTTTATTGTCAAATTATTTTAGATGTGTTGCTTTTGGCCATTCAAAAGCAACATACTAAATGAAAATGACTTTGCATGGCTTATAGCCATGCTTTACCCAGTTGGGCTGGGAAGTGAAACCTTTCTATGATACATTAGAAAGTCTATACATGTGTACATCTGATGCTAGTTTTCTGCTTCATTGTTTTACTCTTTTGGCAATGCAATATTTACACTTGCTTCTGTTCTAGTGCATCATCACAGATTGAGGAAATCATCAAATAATGGGGAAAATGTTTTGTTTCTATATAACTTTATCGTTTTCTTGTTCTTAAAATTTATGGTTACTCAATTATCTATTCTCCTATGCAGCTTTTAAGGCCCTTGGCAAGCTTGTTCTGGATGTTGGGTTGATGTTGGCTTATCACTGCGATCAATTTGGTAAGTTATTCTTGTATAGGTTTTTAATTTTTGCCATGTCCGTGAAATGAATTGTTTATTTTTTGGCCTCATGGTCTTGACATGTGAGTTAAAAGTTAGCATTCCGTTTAGTCCACAATAATAGGGATCTGGGAGGGGTAAACTGAACATAGACATAGCCTTGGTGTAGTTATAGCTGAGCAGGTGTGGGCTTTTGAAATTATTCTGCATAGGACCCTGGCAACCTTTGCAATCCCAAATATCAGGCCATCTTTGGCTCAAGCGTATAAGCATTAATAGGATTAAACCAAACACGTACAACTTGTCCAATGTATCCTCTTTGGTGCCTTTATTTCTTCATTTTGGGCTTCACTTTCTGCTAACTATAGGACATGTTTGTATTTACTTAAATCGTGAGGCTATGCATGAAATCTGATTTATTTAGTTTCTGATACGGACTTGAGTAGTGTCTAAGGGCATGAAAATGCGCGAGGATGAAGGCCTTCAACAGATACTTCTTCGCTCTCGATGTCATAAAGGCCGTCTGCTTTATTATTTTCCTGCACAACAGAGGTAATTTTTTACTTATATCACAAGAATTCCGTAGCTGAATAACTGTTAATCAGCACATCCTAATTCTTACCTGAGTCATCATGATCCATAAGAGCTTATGAATGCATTTATCTGATATGGTGCCACATTGCATGTATTCTTTTTCTATTCCCTTTTTTTGGGGGTTATGTATCTCGTTTGCATAATGCTTGGTCATATAAGATCAAGGGATTCACATGGTTGATTGATTGTTAAGTGCACTATTACCTTTGCCTAAGAACTATATTCAATTTTTGTACATTGTCATCACAAATCCTAGCCATTTTTTTTTTTGTATATATTCATCAGATTTTGAGATGCATAAATTATGAGTAATGAACTATGGAAGATGCTTAGGCTTCACGATGGTTGGCTAGCCATTTCAGCTTTGACTGTCAGCTTGGTGAACCACCCTTCGACAGAAGGCAATCCCAATCTTTCAACCCAGGCACTGTGGATGCCATTCTATATTTGATTCTTTTTTCCTCCAAGAGATGATACATGCATTTTTGCAACCATTGTGACACCATTGACAAAATACTAGTTTTTCCATCAAATCACTGTCTGCCCATCTGAAGGACAGTGAAATGATAAAAGTTATGCAACTAGTGTGGTGTCAAGTGGCGTGAGTTAACAGTGTCAGCAACTGAACAAGTTTGCTGCCGAGTAGCCTGAATGGTGACTTGCAGCGACTTGACTAGTAATTTGCTGCCAGTTACAGGAGTGTGCTACCAATAACTTTCTTGGATACTGCTATTTTTTGGGATGCAAAATGATCTCCATTTTCCAGATTTAACTATGATGCAAAATTAATGTAATTAAACAACCTAAAACTACCACACAATGGGGAAATAATTTTTTTTAATGGAATGAGTTCAAAGCTTTACATTTTTGTTTTTAAAAGAAAGTTGGCTTTTCTAACCGGGCAATTCTTTTTGCATCATTCCGCCTCCTGTCAACTGTCCTATGTCTGTCCTTTTGCTCTCCTCCATTGATTCAGTTAGCACAATGCTATTTTTGTTCTTAGTTAGGTACTGATGTGTCAAGCCACAACTTACTTCCAAAAGTCCAATTTCCTTAGTATAGGTCTACATGCTTGTACTGGCAGCTTATGGTTGAAAACAGCTTTGGTAAACTTGACTTTACTATGTTTTAAAAAAGTTTATGAGTGATATTTTTTCTCTGAGAAAGGGATGTCAGATATTGGAGGTACACTGACTTGCATCTCCATGGATGAATCGATACCACTGTAGTTTCTTCTAACACATCTTTAGCAAATCTGACAACATTTAAGTCTTTTGTGGCACCAAGGGACAGCTCATGACTAATGCACCTTGTCTCTTTTTTTTTTCAGATCCCTGTTTTGAGTCGACAATTATTTTGGCCATTTATATATTTCATCAAAGGATCATATCCTTTTGCTAATGACATTCTTGAGCCTCGCCGGTACTGGAATTTTGCATCATTTGCCCTTCTAATGTCATCTGTTTGTCATTTTCTTAGTATATAATCAAATTACCAACAGATTAACACCTCATTACCTTTCTAAGATAGTCAGCTTCATTGTTTATTACACATTTCTGCCTGTTCATGCCACAGATTTTAGCCAGCAGATTGACATTTAGTTAGACAGGTATTATCAGCATTACTTTCATTCCGGTTTGACCTAAAATTTGCTTTGTGTACTGGCATAAATGTTTGAGTTTTGGCCTATGAGTGACCAAAAGGTCTTATGCACCCATAAATCATCGTAGCTGTCTTTTTCAAGTGCAACCACTTCTGATTAGGAAACCTATCATTACTCTTTGCAATGTTTGGATTCTTCAGAATTATTATCTGTTGTTTTCCCCATGTGAGTTTATGGTCCAGCCCTTGTGACCTTTCACCTTGGGCGAAAGTTTCTACATCCTCCACTAAATTTGGTCTCCTAGGCTCGTAGCATAGGCTAGCAAGATACCAAAATGCAAATAGTTCCAAATTTTCTTCTTTGCAAATTTGAATAGGGAAACATTGACTTTGAGGGCCCAATGTTCATCAGTTAACCAGTAGAACATGGCTTGTTTTGCAGTAATTGTGCCAAAGATGGTGACACCATATCATCTTGGTGTGGTTGGCATACTGATCATGGTTCCCTCACAGGTGAGCAATCTCAGTTCTGAACCTTTTACAGCATTTGCTTTCTGGGGAAAAAGGCTTGTGAAAATAAGTGTACAAAGGAGCTTCTTAACGAATCAATGCCCGAGTTATGTGGATACTTGCAATCATTTTATGCCAAGTAGAAGGCAAATTGTGATTATATTGGATAGTAAGGTCTCTGAAACAGAAATACCATGCATTAAATGATTGAGCCTTACAATGAACCACAAGAGAAGGCACCAAGAAATAAAGAGAATGGCTACTTTGTCTGATCGTGCCAATTCCGTTGTATCATCCTTGTAGTGGACTACAGTAGTTCTGAGATTCAAGATGGTGGTATAGTGACTAGGTAGAAGAGATAAGTGAAACTATGATGAAGACATTGCCAACATTTTTGGTCCAAATATACACAGATTGGATAACTTTGGAGGATATTCTTCTGACTTGCATTTAAACCCACAAGTTTGTTTTGCTACAATGCTTTATATTCCTTTTTCTTTTTGGGAAAAATAATATCATATTTGATATTTTCTGGTGTAATGTAGAAATATAAAAGTTGGTTAGAATAGAAAAGGACCTGGTGCTATTCAGTTATATTGTTTGGAATGCATTAAGGTGAAGGCATTGTTCTAATTCTGTTGTTAGATGTTTTATGCAGCTTTTTGCAGAATTGATGATTGAAATGGAATGTGGTTCAAATTCATGTCTAATGACTGCTTTCAACTGTAGGTCTTACCTGTGGAATGTTTATGAGAGATGCTGTAGAATTACCTTGCTCTGATAGTGCTGCCGGCCTTTATATAAAAACACGAACTGGTCAAATAGTCAAAGTACACTCTCTTATGCTTGCAATTTTACTAATGCACTAGCAAATCATATATCTCACTGATAATGAGTATATAATTGCTTATTTAAAGATTGTTACTAGTGCATCTAATTCAATTGTGTTGAATGCTAGCTTTCCTTTTATTCGACATTTTATGTGGCTATTGTTGGATAATCTTTTCTTCATCTGGGGACTAGTGGTTTGAAGCCCAGATGGTTTCCTCTTCCCCAACTAAACAGTGTTGGGTTTTGTTTGGGTGCAATTTGGGCGGATTGAGGGATTAACCCTAGGTATAAAATCTTCAACCCGAATCAGACCCTAACCCGAGGTACTCAACTCAAGTATTGCCCGAGATGATTTCGGACAAGCCTGAGTTGAAATCGGGTTACACAATTCGAACTCAACAAATAATAATCCTAAATTAGGTGTGCTTTTGTATAATATTGGACTATTATATAGGCCTACACGGCCCACTAAGATGACATCCATCAAGACAACTTATTAAGGGTGTAAGGTGAGCCTTCTTTATAAAGGGGAGAAGGGAGAGGTCATTTGAATTGTCTATCCGATGTAAGATGACAACTCCTTATCTTTCTTTTGCTTTTTTTTACTTATCCCACATTAATTGTATAAATTTCTTTCACCATTTATAGTCTTTATAAATTATGTGTCATTCCCCCTTTAAATAACAATAATTTCAAAATATGTATTCGTATTTTATTTTTATATTATTGATATAAATATAATGCTTGAATTTGAGTTGACCTCTGGGTTGGGTTCGGGTTAAACCAGTGAACCCAAGCCCTTAACCTGAACCTTGTCTGAATTCAATGCGGTTTGAAGTTTTTCAATTCTAACCCTAATTATAATCCTAAAAACCTCAACCCTAACAATATTTTTTTGGGTTGGTCCGCCCAAGTTGCACCCCTAGGTTTTGTTTCACCAAAACTCCCCCTCCTTCCTTCCACAGTGAAAATGATAAAATGTTACAAATCCTGAAAAATAAATAATATGGAAATACCTAAAGAATGGGTTGTAAATTTATAGAAATATGTCGATCAATTATTTAACCAAGACCTTTCCTTAAAATGTCAGGTTAGTTCACCCATAATCAATTCAATAAGATTTATTTCACTGCAAACTCTTCATGTTACCCTATTGTGATTAGAAATTCACTTGAATCCTCAAGCAGTGGAGATTAGAGTTCTACCTTATAAAAATCCCATTTGGTCAGTGGTCTGGCCACAGCTACTAGGGGGAGTGCCCAAAGGGCTAAAGATTCCATCACTTAAGACTGTATCATGAACGCTATAGTCTGGAATATCATGGGATTAAACATGAAAGATAAACATAAAGAGTTGAGGGATCCCAATATCCTCCAAACAGTCAAAGTTATCGAAAAGGCTGACCCCCTAGAAAGGAATACATTTCTTATAAAGAACGAAATCAATCACATACTTCACCCCTATCCATTGTGCAAGCTCCTCATCTACTAATTGTGATTGATATTTCCTTTCCATGCGAGAAAGAAAAGGCTTTGTACAAGGATTCATCGCCTCTTGGAAGACATATATTCAGGTAGACAGTGAGGTGTTTAGAGATCTACTCAGGAATCTTTTAGAAGGGAATGCCATGTTCTGGTTGCTTATCCTGATGAAATGAATGAACATGTTGAGCTAATTTGATTTGTAAAATGTTCCTACATCACGTTGCTTTAACAGCAGTTTGATAGGCCAAATCATATTAAAGTGCATCCAGAAAATGCTATAACAAAATGCAAATTTTCATGTTTCGCAAGGTTTAAGTAGATGAATTTCCTTTTAAAAAATCTCAACTGGGTATTGTCCAGAAGAAAAATTGGTTGCGAAATGTGTTCTTCATATTGTGGTCATATAATTCTTAGTCTTGATGCTCTAAGAGCTTGTATATGTTTTTCCATAAGAACTTGCTCTGCTCTTATTGCATTAGGTGGTATATGGGGAAGATGAGATAGCATATCAAATTGGTGAAACAACTGAGATACTGTCAAGAGGTCATGTTTGTGCAACACCGCATTGCGTTCAGGTATTTCTGCCATCTAAAATCTCTTTGTTTTTAGTGGCATGCCATTTGTTCCTATACCATGTACATGGTTTTAGCACAAACCATTGTAATATGCTTACGCCCTAGTTCTTGTTTAATGATGCTTTTTAGCTTATAGCAGAATTCGTGATATAAGTGGTACTAGCAAGTAACTCTCCTCCCTTATTTAGTTAAAACCTATTACCTGCTGCCAGTTCAGCTACTGTGGGAGTGCTAGGAGGCATGGATCTGGTAAAAGACTTGAACTACGGCGTTATTTTCTATAAGTGGCTGGCTCAAATTGAACTTGCATTGTCATAGTCAGTAGCCGTAGCTTTTAGTGTTGTCAGATCGATGGTCCCTTCTCTCTGATTCCCCAGACTTTTGAACCTCTAAAAATTATGTGCTTGTTCCGTCATTACTAGTGTCTGAGATTAGAAGTTAATTAGTACCCAATTTATTAATCGATTATTCCTATTAAGTCAGGACTTAGGTTTCTGTTCCCAAATAGCTTTACAGGTAGGCACCACTTTCTAAGTTTATTCTCTGGAAATCATGATTCTTTCCTCACCAGCTTCACTGTTTATTCTCTTCAGAATTGTGATTCCCACACAATATTTTGACGGTTCCAGATAATAACATGCAGATCTGCATGGAGCATTGGGCTTATCTTCTTTTGTCCAGTCATTATTAGCTTTGCATTACATCATGGTAAAGTTGCATGGATGTTTAGTATTACCATTTTCCTTTTTACTGAATGAATGCTAGTTCCCTATTGTGCTATAATATAGCATGCAAGGATTGTTGACTGGAAAATAAAATACGAGATGTATTTGTTGACATATGTATGGTCAAAAAATGGGAACAAATACTGTAACGCATTTGCTGTGAAGAGTTAGACATGTTCATTTTTTTTAGTTAACTATTATAATGTGTGATCAGGTCTTAAGTTACTTGACTCATCTAAGTCTGTTTCATTTTCCCTTGCTCACTTTTTATTGCTGTGTGTCCTGAATATTATCGTATAATTTTGTTTTCTGTTAGGCACCAAAGGGGGAGGAGGCTTCTGGCCTTGAACGTTCAACATTTGCATTATTCATGCAGCCTGACTGGTACGTTCATTAGCGAATAAGGAGCTGTATATTTACTTGACTGGTATATATCAACAATGCTCGATTTTACTCTTTTTCATTATCCATCAAAGTGGCCATTGAATCTCAGATGTGACCCAAGTAATGAAATAAGGAGAGAAATGTCAAATAAATCATCAGGAACACAATGAAGTGTCCGAGTTTCGGTGGTGGGAAGAAGGGTGTAGACACGTTGATGCATGTGCTTTTCTCTATGATGTCCATTCTTAGTTTTCAGTTTGTATAGATTCATGACATCCATCAATTCACAATTTAACTTTTGTTTATCAGCGTTTAAGGCATGATATGCAGCTATCCTTGCAACTTTAGGGCGAGTGCAAGTAGGGAAAGTGAAATGGAAAGTAGGACTGCATATGCGAGGAGAAGATGCAAATATTACAATTAGAGAGGTTTTTTGGCTAGTGCATGAAGCTAGCGTAAACTTGTGTATTAACTAGGAACTTGGCGCCTTTTTGAATCTAAAAAGGAAGTAAAGATTTGAATCCACCTATCAATGTGAGAATATAGTGTCATACAGTAGTATTTATATGAAGTCATTCTCACTAAACCACTTTTAGTTTTCCCAGCGCTTCAGGAAGATAAAAGCAAGCTTGACATCTTGAAAAAAAATACGTGCCATCAAACTGAGGGGGAAAACTGTGAATTATGTGGTTGGGAAGTGCATGCATTCAGCAGACCTGGAATTGTCTGAAGCATGATTCCTTAAAAACATGCTTTCCAACACAAAAAGCAACTACCGTTAACCATGCCTTATGAGAACATGTCTCTGTTGAGTCTTGACTCAATTTTCTTGGAGTAATGACTGAGTCACTTGAATCTCTATAACTCTGCATATCATTATGTAAGAACTTCGAAGGAAATGTATGCTGATTGCAGCTTGAACTTGGGCCTGGATAACCTAGTGAGACATTGATTTGCTAGAGTTGCTGCTAAGAATTCCCTTCTGATTGAATCCCTGCGTTGGATTCAACAAATGAATAAAACTAAACAAATCTGATACGTCTATGTCTTTTTTAGCTCCTTCAATTGGTTTCATTTATTATAATCTGTACATTGCTGGATGTCAATGACAAACATCGGGTAACATGAAGTTTCTGATGCTTGTTTTTTTTTTCCTGTGTATTCCTTATTCTTTAGGGATGAGAAACTTAATTTCCCAGAGGAGGTGCATATTCATCAGGAGGTATGTATTCCGAATCCTTAATTTCTTTAATTCACAGAACATTATGCACTTTGGTTGTGTATTTCGAACCCTTAATTATGATCATGTGAATGCATAGTTAGGTTCATGTCCAGCTTCTAATATTCTAGAGTTGCTTGATCGTTACATTTCATGATGGCGTGGTAATCTCATTGATATTTTTCTTTTTCTTTTTTATTTTATTTAAATTTAGTTGATTCCGTCTGGAGGATCTCTGACGTTTGGAGAGTACACTGAGAAGCTGCTTGACAAATATTACCACCTCAAATTTTAAAAGCTGGTAGTGTAAGTTTATGGAGAGTTGAGCAGTAATTAACTCAACATGATGTAAAACTGTTTAACTGGGTCTAGGATTTCTATCATTTTCATTCTTACTAAATAATATAGAGTGACTATACGTTATAAGTTCATTGATTGTGGCATCAAAGCAATAAAAATGTTGTTATGTAGTGCATCATACTCCAGCTTAAACGAGGATATAGGAGAGGTAATTTATAGATACTCTTATCCCTGTTGAACAGAGCTCGATGATTCCTTGGTTCGAACCCACTACATATTTGCTTGGACGGATAAGCATATGAGATTTCTATAATGATCAAATTCGTATTGATTGTAGAACAAATATTTTGGGTGTGGATATTTTTTAGGTCGTTCTCGAGAATATTTGTTTGAATTTGAGTTTTGGTGAAAGTTGTCTAGCTTGAAATGATTGTTTTAATTTAATTTTTTTGTAATGATTGTTTTAATTTAATTTTTTTGTTTTTAATAATGTTGTTGAAGTATTCACGATGTATGACTGAGTCTTCCCTTCTCTACCTGGATGCAATTTTAAAAGTTTTAATTGCTTGGTATAGTCTCTAGAAAACCATACCAAACACTTAGGTTCGTCCAATCTCTATGTGAACATACCCTATGTTTTTGAGAGACAGAGGGGGCGGGGGGGGGGGGGGGGGAATAAAAGTGGACTTAGGAGAGAAAATAAGGGGAAAAAGAATTTTTTATTATCTTGTTTGATTGGGAGAAAAGTAGAGGAAAATTTGACAGGAAAAAAAATAAAGTATAGAACTTTTAAAAGTAGAGGGAGTGTGCATGTCTTGTCTTCCCTTCTTTTTTTGGTTTGAAAGGAAGGAACGGGAAAGGTTAGTGAAAGAAAAAAACGATTGAAAACAATGTTTTTCTTTGGGATAAGTAGACTTTTCATTTGAGCTATCTATTTATACGTAAGAGCATCTCTAATAATGACTTAAATTTAAAATTAAATTTAAGTAAATATTTGATTTAATATAGAATATTCTAATAAACAAATTCAAATATTTACGCAAATATTTTAAAAAATTTCTTTATTATTCCAAAATTTATCTTTTTGTGTTATTAAAATAATTATATTTTATAAAAATAAAAAATAAAACTTTCATATCTCTACACAAATAGATAATTTTAAAAAAATGAATATGTATATGACATTATATGGGAATAAAAAAATCACTCTAGAATTTTATGATTGTTTTAATCTCTTATCATTTTTTATAAATTTAGATAAAAAAAGAAAAGAAAAAAATATAAATATTTTGATATGGGTCTAGTTTGAAGAACACAAAAAAATATATTTTAACAAAAATGAAAGATTGAAGAAATAAAATGACAAATTTTGTAAATTTGTGAGTAGCCAATGCTTAAAATTTAAAAAAGAATTGATGGTCTAAAATTGTATTATCGATGGTATTTAATAAAAAAATATAAAAAAAAAAATTTGATGGGTTGACTTCGGGTTTATATAGAATGAAAGATGACATCAATGAGCCTTTGATCCAATGATATTCTTTATCTTGTAAAATTTTGTCTTTTTAAAGTCAATGGTTCAAGTCTCTCTCCCTCTTTCCCTTTCTCTCTCAAATTTTTTTTTTTTTTAAAATATAGTATAAAAGATGAGTGAGATTAATGTTTTGAAAAATACTGTAAATTAAGAAGATGGAATATGAAAATAAAAAAACTTACAGCCTTTTAAATGATTTGTGAAAGTTTCAGTGGTGGTCGGTAATGGAAACAACGTAGTAGAGATAAAGAAGAGGCAAAGAACAAGTAGTAGAATAAGTCTTTTAATTTTGGATAAGTTAAAAAATTATCGTTAGAAATTTGATATAGAATTTGATTCTGTTTCAATTTAGGTCTAAAGTAAGTTTTGCCTTAATTTAGTATAGGTTTGAGTCTAAGGTTAGAAAAAAAATTTGAATCATTTTAACTCAAATTTAAATTTGAGTTTAAATTTGAGTTAATGTTAGAAATGTTCTAAACGTATGATAAAATTGAGTGGTTATTTGACAAAATTTAGTTTAATTTGAGATGTAATTTATTAAATTTATTACCAACTGAATTATTAAAAATAAATATTTTATTTTTAATGAACTTGAATATGAACTATAGAAATTGAACCTATACATTTAATAGGTGTGAATCTGAGTTTTCAAGTCGAATTCGAAGTGCTCGAAATGTGAATCCAATCCGATCCCTTGCGTCTGGTTGGAAGGTAAGACACGAAAGTTTAGGTCTGTCTTTACTTATTTGTTCCTTCACTCCCAAACCGAACACGCCCCATTATATGCTCCAAGTACAGCCTCTAGTGGCTAACCACTGCATACTTTTTAGCCCCCACGTTGCTTATTCTTATGCAGTAGAAGTCAATGTGTCATGCGTCAGAAGTTTTATCATTATATAACATTTTTGGTCATACACAATTCTACAAGAAATTCTCTTCTCTAAGAGCTTGCCATCTAGAAGCAGCCCACTGATTGTTGGCTTAAACGTTAGGCTGCCTTCTAGAAACATCGTTATTAAACTCCAGAGTTTCCAAGTCATACCAACGTGTATGATTCATTGAGACCCAATGTACATGCAGCAACGTCCAAAATGTATGGAAGGTCACTAACCACCACTTCACCTACCGCCAAAAACATAAAAATGGAATTATTTTACGCCCGCCCAGCAAATCGATGTAGATTTTCCTTGTTATACTTTCACTCATTTTTTTATTTTTTATTTATTACAAATTATTTAGGCTTGTGTTGACTACTCTTTCGAGATTTTTTCCTTGAGTTTTGAATCAGTCATCGTAATTCGAGTTAATTTAAAGACATGTCCTTTAAAGAACAAAGGTGATTGACCCTTAAGGGATATGAAAAGTATCAAACCGTAAACTTCTTCCTTGTAAGAGGGCAAACTGGACCACCCTTAATGGTTTTTTTACTCAATTTTTATTCAACGTTGGATCATCTCCTATTAATACATATGAGATCGATCATTTACCAGTAGATCCTTTATTCATACACGGTAAATTATTCTATCATGGAGTAGAATTGAGAGAAATTGTGATGTAGTGAATTTCAATCCGTGCAAATATAATGAGATGACAACATAATAAACATATTTTATTGAGCATATCGTGGAAGACTGATATTAAAATAATAACAATAATTTATTTATAACAAATATTTGTTTCCAATCAGAATAAGAAATGAGGAGAAGATATCTATCTTATACTAAATAAGAGTTTGGTCTTGGTGTTTCAATGAATCGATTAATTCTATAGAAATATACTGATATTATAGTAAAATTATTATTCCGGACACGAGTTTTCCATCATTGTGTGCTATATTATTAGGTAAATCTTTATATTATGCTCATCTCTAATAATTTAAACTTTTAAAATAAAGGGTAATTTCAATTTTGTATGGGATTACCACCTGAGCCGGTGGTCTAGTGATAAACCGTATCAGTTTAGAGTCGTTTTTAACTCCTATGTGATTATTAAGTAGGGTTCGATTCACAAGAGTAACACGATTTTTTTTTGACTTTGTTAGTGTTGTGGTGACGAGCTGCCTTCTGAGTTAGTAGAGCTATGACTCAAAATTGGAAATTCGACAATGAGGGGATTCTCATGGTCACATCCAATGAGGGTTACTACTTACTGATTGTCCCTTCCCCTTTTTCCTAACCGCAAAAAAAAAAACCTTAGTATAAGAATCTAGAGGTTATAAGTTCAAATCACACACAATCTCCTCTCTTACTACACAACAATAAATATAAATGTATATGAATGAATCATCGAAGAGAAACCACAGGTGAGGAGAAATATTAGATAAAACACTCATCTAATACACCTCAAGCTTTTAGAGCAGTTTTAAGACAAACATTGTGCAATAGTATGTGCCACGAGATCTATTAAATAATTAGGAAGGATCTGGATCCTTTCAATTTCAAATTATGTCATTTGATCAATTCTAATGATCTTTTCCAAATTTAATATATCTTCTTAGTAGATGTCATGGATACACCCACCAACACTAATATATAATAGAATTATCTTTGAATGAATGATTGAATTGGACAAACGATGACTACATTTGAAATTAAAACGATTGGAATCCCAAAAACAAAAGGAATATGCTAAATAAAGGATATACAAGAACACCACTCAAACAAGAATATGCTAGTGGATCATTTGGTAAGTTTCACTATTGAAAGATAAATTGATTTTGATAGACAATCTAAACCAAAGTAAATTAGATTTTGCGGGTAAGTTTGCATGATACCGGGATATATTTTTATCTTATCCCACATTTGAAAATGATTCGATAGAAAAAGGTCAAAAAAAAAAGCGAGTTATGTGATGTGAGTCTTATGACATTAAATTATATGTCACCATGCACAGTTAGGAAGTGTTTTTGACAATATTATCCTCCGTTTAATGAAGTGTTTGATTTGATTCAAGGGTGCAATCAATAATTTTAGTTATAATTCCAATTCATTCAATTTACGGAGAATTACGCCCAGACTCCTTGTCACTTAATCACTTATATTCCTTGACATTTGAAATATTATACACAGACCCCCTGACGTTTGTACGCGTGTAACACTTAAAAATATATTGTAAATATATTCATTAATAAATTATACTTAGACTTCCTTGAAGTTTGTAGGTATATAATATTTAGATCCCTTAAGTTTAAAATATTATATTTAGACAAAAAATATTTCAATCAAAGATAACACATCAAATATTTTAAATTTTACAACTAAAATTCATATTCTATTGTATCATTTATTGAAATAAAATTAAAATTAAAATTTTAATTTTTTATTTAAAAATTATAATTAATATACAACTATACTATCTATTGGAATAGAACGAAAAATTAAATAAGAGGTCTAATTTATTCATAATAGAACATAAATTTTTCATCCAAAATTCATATTCTATTATGTCATTTATTGAAAAAAATCAAAAATAAAAATTTAGTTTAAAAAAAATCATAATTAATATATAACTAAAAAAATTAAATAAGGGGTCAAATTGTAATGAACACAATATTTTTTAACTTTAATTGGGGTAGTTTAATATTTTAATTTGGTCGTTTAAACGACCAATTTAAATTTCAATAGAAAATATAATTATTTACTAATTACAATTTTTAAGAAAAAATTGAAGTTTTATTTTTAATTTTATTTCAATAAAAGATAAATAGATCATGAATTTTAATTATAAAATTTAAAATATTTGATACTTTATTTAATTATCTTTGATTGAAGTATTTTTGGTCTAACTATAACATTTTAAACTTAAGAGTTCTAAATAATATATGTTTACAAACTTCAAGGGGTTTGGTTGTAATTTATTAACGGATATAGTTACAGTAAGGTCTAAGTGTTATGCGCGTACAAATTTTAAGGGGTTTGTATGTAATATTTCAAATATCAGAGGATCTGAGTGATTAAGTGACAAATTCAGAGGGCCCAAGTGTAATTCTCGCTTCATTTTAATACCACCCATTGATAAGTTTCAATACTTGCGTAGAAATGAGGTTATATGTAGTAATAATTGTAGGCCCAGATTCATACTTATGTTGGAAAAAAAATATTATCACTAGAAGGATTAATTATATTAGAGGTCTCCAAAGTATTTAATTTGTCTTATTTTGATTCTCAATATTTTAATTACATCATTTTAGTCTTTGAAATATTTAATATATTTTTATGTGATTTTTCAAGTAAACAGTTCAGATTACTGACGATTTTTTATTATAAACTTGTCACATAATACTTAAATATAAGTAAAATAATAATTTGAATAACTTTTGATTAAATTTGCATCCAAATTTTGGTTAAATAACTACCTAAATTACACAGTTTTGATCATGAGCTATCCAAATTTTTGTCGATGACTACTCATATTACACATTTTTGGCCAAGAGTTACCCAAATATTTGTTAAGAGCTATCTAAAATATTTTCTGTCCATATTTAGATATTACGTGACAAATTTATAATAAAAAATCGTTAGCATTTTAAAAGTTATCTGTTCGAGAGACTACATAAAAATATATTCAATATTTTTAGGGATCAAAATGATATAAATAAAATATTATGGACCAAAATAATACAAATTATATATTTTAGGGCCTTTAATGTAATTAATCCTAAAGTGATTATCAACACATATATAATGTTGATATTCAATGATTTAAATTATCAAGTCTAATTTTTAAATCTACTTTTTAAGTCCACGTAGCATTACCCTATAATCTTAGGCATCAAGTCGCTTTGCCACTTCCTCAAGGATAAGACTGGTCCCACATGAGATTTTAGAAATGGAATTCACAGTAAGTGTTGCGTATGGTACCAAAAAATATTATTTATTATCTAATATTTATACAAAAAAATCACGATCCAATAGGTCTGGCAATTTGACAACGACCCAATAAAATAAATTTTGATTGAACTTATTGTGTATTAAAAATTTCATCTTTAACTTGCACTGCAATAATATCCATATTATACGATATTATAAAACTCTTTTTTTTTTTGGTTATGTAATATATCTGATAATATTAAGTATTCTTTCTCCCAAATTAAACATAAATAAATTTAATAAAAAAAATAATAGTATTTTTGGCGAATTTTGGATTGCGGATGTGCCAAATTCTTAAATGATTTAGCTTCTAAACACTTACGATCTTACTTATTCGAATTAAGGTAAAATTTTTAAATCGTGTTTGCTTAGATGATTGAAACGAAGCATAAGACTATTTCTAAATTTTTTTTCCCCTACCTTGACGAGCAAAAACTTAAACTGTTTCCTTCGCAAACAGCGACTGAACTAAGAATTTAAGATAATTTGGGAAAAAGACCATAACATAACCGACAAAGAGAAATTGTTACATAAATTATTGTACTTGAAATTAAACAAAAAAGGGTGTCACTAGAGTGATGATTACAATGTAAAGAAAGATTATGGTATATTACTCTTTCCGTTCTTAAATATATGTTATTTTATTTAAATTTTTTTATTCCACAATATCTGTCATTTTATGAAATTAAAGTATAATTAATATTTTTTCTTTCAAATTTACCCTTATTTCTGTTTTTCAGTAAGTGCTTAATAGATTAAGTGTAGGTTAAGTGTCTTTCATATTCCCTTCCTTCCCAATATGTATTAAATAAGAATATTTTAGTCTTGTGCAATTATTTTTTACTCATACTAGAATTATTTAATAGCTTCTTTAATTCCAGTATAAAAACCCTAAACAACAGATATTTAGGAACGGTAAAAGTATGTATGTGTGTAATCGAGAGACTCTTTGTATGCAACTTAATCATATGTATTTATAAGAAGTGGCTATTAATCGTTTGAGTCGGTTTTTTTTGTCACGAGACCAATAATCATGACATCTATTTCTAACATCATGTATCGTACATAGAATTATCTGTAATTGTCGGCTCATAATATCATAGTGTCTTCATTACCTGAAATCCATGGAGACCTTTTTTCTGTTATCCCGATCAATCTCCCTCATTTTTATTATTGATGAAACATGTTTTCTTAATTTCGGGCCTCCTTGTTTTTTGAGAATGTCGGCCATTCCTCGACTTTAAGGATGTCGGCTCGGAGATTTTCAAAATGCTGGTACTTGGTAACAACAGAGATAGCGACAAACAGAGTGTGGTGAATTGAACCTTGGTAAGATGGGCCGACGTTGGCCCAAATCTAATTAAGAAATAAACAAACGTGGTCAACAAAGACAAAGACAAAGACAAACACAGGACGTGGCATCTCCTTAGAACCAAACGAAAAATGACTGGTGGAGACTGACATGGCCCACCATATTGGGTTTTCCCACACCTCACGTCTCTTCTTTGCCCTTATCTACTTATCTTCTTCCTTCTCTTTTGCTTTTTAATCTTTTTTTAAAAAATTGTCACTGTTATTTTCCTTTAAAAAAATCATTAAATGATAGATTAGAATAATCAAGTATCATACTTTATAATTGGCTTTAAATTAGTTTGAGACTCCATCAATTTATTTATTTTTTATTCTAGTTGTAACCCATTATGGAAATATTAATTATTATTTTTTTTTCATAGTTTCTCTGTCCATTTTAATTCATTTAAAATCATAAAGTAAATAGAGGAATTGTTTTATTTCTCATATTGTAGGATTTAGAGAATTAGTGCTTTTGAAAATTATATTTAAGCAAGAAGATATAGTTGTCTAAACTCAAAGGGTTAACCTAGAGGTAGTTTAATCACCTTGATAATCCTCTCATGAGAGATTAGTTAGGGATTCAAATATCCCACAAAACGTATCACCCATAGATTTATCTCTTGTGTGGAGAGACACTTTTGTAGAAAATAAAAAATCATCAAATATGGAAAAATTTGATCATGCGAAATTTTTTTTTTCCCGATAAACATTTGTTTCCTGCTAAACAAATGATAGATTTTTTATTTTTTTCCTCTTTCCCCATTTTCCACCGTTCTCTCACTAACCAAACAAATCTATTGAAACCTAAAAATTTGACTTAAATTTATTGATCTAATTTACTGTAATCTTTGGATTGACTGTAGGCCTCATCAAACATTAGAACTTGGTGTTAATCCAATGATTCTTATTAAACTACATCATTATGTCAGCAAATTAAGTCCAAATTTTAGGTCTAAATAACATTTTTCTTTTGTATAAGGTCCAACATAAATTTGGTACGTGTGTGGGACAGTACTATAGTAATTTATTGGGACAATTAATGTATAAAAAAATGTGGTATATGTAGGAATTTAATAATTTTTAAAAATACTTTTTAATATTTCTCCCCCCCCCCCCAAAAAAAAAAAAAAAAACATTCACGAGGATAGATATGTCGAGGGAAACACATGTTGTTTTCAATGACATGACATCTAACTTTAAAAAAAAAAAAGGAAAAATTTTAACCACATCCCTTATAATTTATCATATCTTCAAAGACACCCCTCTAATTTTTGAATCTTCAATAAAACCCTTATCGGATTAAAAATATTAAGAGAAAATTTCAATGACACCCCTTCTAATTTTTGAATCTTCAATAACACCCTTTATAGTTTAATTTAAACATCACTAACATCCCCTACCATTAAAATTAGAAAATAAAGGAGGTCTCATTGAAGATATATTTATTTAAAGGAAATTTTATTGAAGATATGTTTATCTAGAGGAGTGTAGATGAAATTTATCCTCAAATATATCATGAATAATTTAGTAAAATTGTATTCTATTTAATGGTTTAATGGTAAAAGGTATTAGTGATGTTTAAATTAAACTAGAAAGGATATTATTGAAAATTCAAAAAATAGAAAATGTGTCATTAAAAATTATTCAAAATTTAGAGGAGGTGTCGTTAAAATTTTCCCTAAAAAAAATGGGACCACATCACACCATAGCGTCTAAGACCAGGTCTATATAACAAACAATTGGTTGCTTCAACCTCAATCTCTGCTTCTACTTCCATATCCATACCCACCAAAACCTTCCGGCCGCCATGACCATTTCTTACTTCATCCCCTCCTTGGGTGATCGCCGGAAAGTTGGCCGAAAATCCGGCTTGCGGAAGCGGTGTTTGGCGGTGGTGAAGCAGCAGAAAACCAGGTTCTACATCCTCAGGCGCTGTGTTTCTATGCTTCCTGTGTTGGCATGATCATTCCATTTCAGATTGAATCGGGAATCGTCACATCGATCCATGGTGTTGTAGATATGAAGTAGTTTAGTGCATGAGACTCTCACTATTGCAGAGTTTGGAGATACTCGAGACGCCGGAGCACAATCAAGCAATTTTAGGGCTGCGTCACTGTCAAGAGTCAAGACCCACCCTCATCCATGCTCTGTAACAATCCGGCATATCTTGATCTGGGCAGTTCCATTTTGATTCAAGGAGCTGATGCTTTCAAAGATATAGGGACTATACGTGTAGTAAGATCAGAGGATGGCACGGATTGGTCGAATAAGAGACGAGATGTAAATTGATATGTCGTGAATCCGAGTTATCTTTACTTGTATAATATCTGAATGAGTTTAATCAATGAGGATGGTTTAACTGTGACTGTTTGTATGTATATGAGATTTGTATTAGAATCTAAATTCGCATGATTGGAACGATTATAACCTCATGGGTGCCTAAATTTTATGAAGATCTGAGCTTCACCAGAGTTGGGGGGGGGGGGGGGGGGGGGGGGGGTTGTTACGCGGGCTTCTCTTGCAGATTTTTTGTGAGAACTGGCCTGTCAAAGATTTTTTGAGCAGTTTTACATTTGTAAAACTAAAATTAATTTGTACCTTGATAATTTCTTAAATTAAATTATTTTTTGTGAATATCTTAATCTAGCGTGTTTTTAACCAGATTAGAGAAGAAAATAATCGATGTACGTATAAACTGATTTAAATGTCCTTAATCGTTGAATAAAAAAAAATGTTTTTAAAAGGAATGAATTCATACCCAAGCGGTGTGTTGTGACTTTAATTTCAAGAATCTTCTTTTCAAAGTTGGGTTAATGATATTTATCATTTATCTTTTACAAAATTTACTATAGACAAGAATCTTCTTTTGATATGTTTTTTATAATGGGTTTGAATTGGATTGTTTAAACTCGGGTTTGACTAAAGATGAGATTCAAAGATGAGTTTGAGGGGGTTAATGCTATTCATGCTCATGTTTGGTATGTGCAGGATATATTATTATTATGATAATATATTTGTATATATTTGACTTTTTTGTCCCTCAATTAATTTGTATATATGATATATATAGGGGTATAAATATCATTTGTATGTTAAATCCCCAAACCCACGAATGAAACTCATCCCCCTTGGGTTTCATGACTGGACCATGAATAGGTCGAGTTTGAAATCTTATCCTTACTTCATGGTTGCTAAATATGGGATTAAGGGAGTTTACTTACCAACCCATATTCCCAAACCCCCCAAACTCACATACCAAACAACTCTTTATTGCCTCAAACACACAGGATTTCATCACAATATGGTTGAATCATAACTTAGGAAACAATGTTTTTTTTTTATATATAATTGAAAATAAGATTCAAGAGTAAATACAGTAAATTAAAAGACAGTAAGTAAATACATCTTAATATAATCTAGGGAGGAGGGTGTGCATCCAACTCCACTTGAGCTTTTGTCGAATTAGGCAATTGGTCCGGTTGGAGTGAACTAGTATAACCCATAGCAAGTCCCCATCTCGCTAATTCATGAGTTGCACCATTTGCATCCCTGTATGTATGTACAAATTTTCATTCCAAAAGATGTTGAAGTATGTCTTTTATGTTCTGTAAAATTAAAAGCGCAGACCAATAAGATTTGACATGAAAGAATATGATAGAGTGAACGGCTATCTGTAAGTCCCTTTCTACGAGCACACGAGGCCATCGTTTGTCATGAGCCCGTTCCATAACTTGCCCTGCAGCTAGAGCTTTGGCTATGAGTTGGTCTACTTTTGCTACAATTTTAAGTTTGCTTCCTATAACTGATCTATCATGAAGTCCGGCTATTGCTGCAGTACATGACTTCCACTTAGGAAACAAAGTTTCTTTTACCCATTTTGGAGATATCTTGTAGTTAAAATGGACCGAAAGGGAGCTACTGTGCACGAGACATTATTCAAAGTTAAGTTCTATATTTCACATTGAACTAACTTCTACCACCAATCCTAAGGGGTGGAGTTGACCTATGTCACATCCTTTGAGGAATTTGGATCTCCATGATTTAAAAAAAATTCTCCATTTCCTTCTATTTGCAGAAAATCAATTGGCTTCAAACGATTTTGGAAAAAAAGTAAAAAACGTAGTGTTTAATTCTTTCAGTAAGCACTCATTTTGAAATTAATCCTTAAAATTACTTATCATTAATGGTGAGATTGATGGATAGGGTGTCATTATTTGATGATGAGTGTTTTTTCTTTTGCTCTTTGAAAAATAGTAGGGATAAAAGAGAGTGTTCAGAGATCATCCCGATAAATTTTTACTGAATAATTATGAGACCCTTTTTCGTGTTTGTTAGAGTACCTCCAATAGATTAGGTAAACTCCTCCCCTTAGTTATTTTAGATAGTTTCCCCTAAAATCTGGCTCAAAGAGACCAGCTATTCCCATCTATTTTCCATAACCCCATTTTCATCGGCTGCCACTTCTCCCTCGCTGGCCCTTTCTCTCTCTCTCACTGAAGCTCCATAGCATAGAAGGCTTCATCGCACCACATCTAAAGCTTCATCGCAGAAGGCTCTCCACAACACCGCCGACTGAAAGCTTCATTGCAGAAGGCTCCACCGGTATAGATTGTACCATAGTTTACATTTGATTGAGAGAAGGATCTAATTAAAAAGTTCAATGTTCATTAGTTTTGTGGCCACGTAGCATAGCACATACCTTCTTCTTCAATTGTTCAATTGATGAATCAGTTTTGTGATGTGTTGTTTGGATCTGTATGTCCATGTGTAGAAGATAGTGGTGGCAGGTGGTGTTGGGAGAGACGGTGGCAAGTGGTGTTGGAAGAGACGGTGGCATTGTCTTCATCGCCAACTCTGTAAAATTTCCTCCAAAAATTCAATAACACCCCTCCAAAAATTCAACAAAACCCCCAAAAATTTCAACAAAATCTCCTAAAAATCCAACAAAATCTCTCAAAAATCCAGTAAACTCTTCCCAAATTTTCATTAAAACTCCCAAAAAATTCAGCAAAACCCCTAAAAAATCTTGATAATTTGAAGTGATTTTGTTTTGAATTTTGTGATTTAATTTGAGAGAATTTGGTTTGGAAGCAGTAATATTTGGGAGGTGGTTTTTTTCCTGTAGCCTATAATTGATTGAATTTGTATAATATATAGTTGAATTGTTATTTTTTAAATTTTATTATTAAAATTTAGTTAAAGTTAGTTGAAGTGGTTAGTTAAAATAGATAGCGTTGTTAAAGTGAATTTGAAAAAATGATTAGTTAAAGTAGATAATGTAATATTTAAATATATTTTAAGTAGTTATTTTAGATAGCATTATTAGAGATGTTCTTACTCTTATAAAAAATGAATTTAGCTACGCTATCATAGCGGTCGATCACTAAATTTCAACATAAATTCAAATACTCAAACCTTTAACTTCAGAATAAGAAGTTTGATCGATACGTCACTTAACCAGCCATAAGTTTTGGTTCTTGATACCTCGAAACCTGTGTGTCAATTTTATGCTACACGGCAGTGGCCTTAGACATATTATTGATCAATCAAGCAGATATGACAGTAGGGCTCATAAAATTCAACACAATCTGATTTAATTGATACTAATTACCATGAAATTAATGAATTTGAATTTGATTTTAATGGATTCGGATCATAAATAGTTGGCCCTTTTTAACTCACATATTAAATAAGTCGTGTTCGGAAGAGTGTCTTAACTCATTTATCACTCGATTACTTGTTCGATTATCTGTTTGCTATCGATTACTTATTTAATAGATGACCTAATTTACTGTAAAATTAAGACTTTTTGAGTTGAGTCACGTAATTCATTTAATAAACGAATCGTATTTAACTTTACAATTTTCACTTTTATAATAAATGATTTGTATACGAGTTTAAGTAGTTTTGATATTAACTCACTAATATATCGATATAAATCGAAAAAATCTAACACGATTGTCAAATCTATATGACAATGATTTGGGCCTAATGCCTCTACTTTATATTCCGAAGTTTGGTGGTATAGCAAGAAAAAAAAACAGGCATAGTGATGTGTGTGATTGCTACCATACTGAAGTGTGAAGAAAAAGGAAGTTTCAAGTACTTGGAGACTTGGTCTATCTGGTTGGCACTTTGAGGTGACATCATATGTAGGACTTTGGGGTAATTCGGATGGATTGGACTGACAAATAGATCAATTAACATTTACCTTTAAGTCATAAACTACCCGATCCGAATTCAATCCAAACACGAACTTTAATTCAAACCGTTCACAAGTATAGTTGATACTTAAGTTTTGAAACTGAGATTAAATTTGAAATACACAACTCGAGCTGAAATTCGAATTCAATTTTCAGAATGAAATTTAAATTTCTGTTCCAAAGTTACATATCTCTCACGAATTTTGAAATGAATTTGGAACAGGCTTGGACTGGGCCCCCAAGTTCTGTATTCCCAACTTGAAATATTGTCTAAAACTTTTAAATTGGATTGAGAGTTTTCATCCAAATTCAGCTCGGATTTTAAAAATTTATGTTTGGTCTTAGATATTTTTGGGTTGAGATCAAGTTGATTCCGTCGACCCTGCCTAAGTTGTATCTCTAAGTACAAGAATTTTTTTTTTTTTTTGGTTTAACTGTCCAGGGGTGTTCAGGTTAACTTACATGTTCTTTTCCTGGTCTGGTCAGAAGTAGGTCATTCATGACGGGACTAGGATATCCAATAGAGATAAATCTTTTATGACCTGATCCTAAAGAATTGTTAAGATTCAAACTCAAGATGTCTAAGTTTATAACTTATTTTCTATTACCACTTGAGCTACTTTCAAATTAAGTGCAAGAATACCAAAGATACCAAGTACTCCCCTAATAAGATTAGGGCTCTCGTTGTTTATATGATTGTATAAAGAGGAACCGGATACAAAATGGAGCGAAGCTCATCCAATTAACGAATTAAAGCCAATATTACTGGGCCGAGAAAATTTTGTTGAAGTTGAGCCCAACGACAACAAAAGCCCACCAAGTTTTAACACGGTCTAATTGCTTAGTACAGATAGAAAACAGGTTATTTAGAAGTCGGTATATCTAATTAGGTTTATTTGACAAAAAATATATAAAATAAAATATTTTTAAAAAAAGTACACAACTGAGTTACAAAGACATAAATGCTATTTTACGGTTATTTAATTCAAAATCTCTTAGATTTAATTCACCTTGATTCAAATTTTGTTTGTTAATACTTATAAATATGTATTTAATGTACCTTGATTCATGTGTATTTGTTAATAT